AATTAGGCTTCTGTTGAAATAGATGTATAACGGACAGTTCTATTTAAATTTATTCGATAATTGTCTCAACTTATGAAAACGTAATTCCCACTTCATAATCTTAAGAAATTGATTTGAATATCAGATCTCCAAACCTTACTATCTTTAATTACGGAACAGTGATGAGTGATTGAGAATAGTACAGGAAAACAAGGATTAAACCAGATTTTATTAACAGACGTATTCCTCTACACTGGTAAGTAGTTTTGAAACAGGTGATCAAGGTTCAGACAAGAAAAGTAAATGAACCAATAATGTTGTGAGACTTTGACTATGACCGGTGGAGAAGTGTTATGGTAAGGGAACACATGCAATATCAAGGCATTTCTCATAAATTTCTTATCAGTTAATGGTCATTACCAGCCACGGGAGTCGCAAAAAAGCTCTTGTAAAACTACACTCCTGGTTTTATACTTGCACGTGAACATAAACATAGTTATCGACGCCCGATTATACTCATATTTCTTAACCTACAAGTAGCATCTAATTCTTTCGACCTAGGTTTAAGGGCAAAATGTTTCATTGAAAGACATATCGAATATCCATCCAAACCTTGTTAATGTTTTCTACTCGAACCCTATTGGTTGACTCAGCACTTATGGCGAACTTTGAGCCTCAAGTAGTATTGGGGATGTTCAACCTTCAAATACAAGAAAACTAAAATCGATGTAATCTGATTGTAAGATCAACTTCCAACAAATTTCCGTTACATTGCTCTATCAACTGATATAATTCAGTTTATTGAAAACCACTCAGTTCGCAGTCCTAATCATTATAACTGATACATAACTGAATAACTTTAAATGTATCTTCAATCCCACTGGAATCATCACCAACACCACTCCCATTACGAAAGTGGACTTCTCTATGGTCAGTAGGCAGGGGGAAGGAAAGGATAGTAGTTTTGTTTGCGGTATTGAAGTCGGAGTTGGGAGTACATTAGCTTAGTGCACGAGCATATCAGATGGTTTTCATCAGAATTGCCCACTACCCCCTCTTATTTAATGTGCTCAAAGATGCTCTCTTACAAACAACACTTCTCGACTTTCCAGAGGTTAGTCTCGCACCAGGACGTTCACTTATCGAATTAAAATACCTAACTGATATAGTTCTGTTTGATGATAACGCTGACGAAACACAGTTTCTTGGCTACCTCGAACAGCAATCTAGAGATGTTTGGGATGCGTTTCTTTCCCCATAAATGCAAAATGTTGCCTGGACTGATTATAAGGAGTAAAGTAGTTAAGTATCTTGATCGCTTCACTGATCTTAGGAGTCCTGGTGGGTTGGTCTCGGAAAGGATCTAAGAAAGCTCGGTTAGCCCCAATCAACTTGCGTCACTTTTGGCGTGCGCTAAATGTCCGTTCACAGACAAAGCGCGTTTGTATTGCGCAGCAGCCTGTCCTGTTCTACTGTGTGGCTGTGAAACATGCTATCTGAAGGTAGAAGACAAGCATAAGCCCCAGGTGTTTGACCATAGGTTTCTTCAAGGAATTGTTAGCGTTTCATGGGTCGACGGAGTGGGCAATCATGAGGATGGACATAGGGTACTCGTTAAAGGTCGCAAATCAATTAGTGAGGCGGTGTAAATTCATAGACTAAGGTGGTAAGCGAATATATTACTTATGTCTAAACACAAATCGGCTCTGGTTAAGTTAGTAAACAGTGAAAGATAAGATAATCCGATTAAAAACAACTATGCGGGACTAGTCAAGAAATGAAGTCATGGGATAAGATATATTTGTCAACTGATGACAAATTACCGCTACTATTCACGTCAATGTTCTATACGTGAAAGGCATAGATAATTTGTCCGCTTCATTTATGTAAACCAGATTATCCAGTCTAATTCATTTGGTATTGTTTGTTTATATCTTTCTATTGTTGTTTGGGACTGTAACTGATTAGTCTCTCTTTGGCATATATGCATGCTGTGCGGACTGAGTCGATATTACCTTAAGTTACAAGCCTTATAATCAAGGGTGGATAGTTGCTAGCAGTGGAATGCAGGACGCGGGTATCGTCCTGTTTCGGACTCGTCAGCTGGATTTACCTGCATCCCAGAGTTCATGTTCACTCCGGGATTCGAACCCAGTACCGTTCGCCTATATGCCGACGAAAAACATCAATTTCAGTCCTAAACAGCAATTGGAGGATACAATCAAACAATACCAAGTGAATTAAACTTCACTCCATTACACAAGCATGTGGCTAGAAGGATTCAGTAGATGAGTAGGTAACGTGGTGGCACTTAAAGCGAATGATACTGGGTTTTAGTCCTGGAATGAGCATCAACTTTAGGATGCAGGTACATCCAGCTGACGAGTCCCAAATAGGACGAAAGGCCCGTTCTCGATTCCACTGCTACCGACTATCCATCTTAGACTACCTAGTTTGTCGGTATAAAAACACCAGAATGCCAGTTTTTTAAAACAAATACCAAATTCAAGCGACAATCGAGACTTCGAGCCCAAAAGTTTTAGTTTACTATTGCCTGTGGTGCTCCCAAATGTCATGGTACGACCGAAGGTGGGGGAGGTTCACTCTCCCTGTCAAAATGCTCTCACATGGACACCTCTGCCAGGAACGTTCTATTCACTGCCTCCTCACAGTAAGGGTGTTTACGAAATCGAGAGGACGAAAAGCGAATATCCAGCGCTTTATCGGGTTAGTGGACATGGAGTATCCTGATATATTTATTTGGACACATAAATATTAGTACTAAGGGGCACCGAGTACATATGCGACAAACAAGTCACTTGATTTGTATGTGAGCTGTGATACTGCTCGACTGCCCGGACCGATGCAGCTGGTTTCTTTAGGGGGCCACACCTAGAGCCTTAAACCCAAAGGTCTGACCCACAAGGCAGTAGAGCAACGCAAAGAGATTCAGTCCCATGTTAGCCGGTGACTAACGATTGGTTCACACGCCATTTGATTCTTCAGGATCCTGGAGCTTATGTACACCATTGGTTTGGAATCAGGGTTTTTCAACTCCCCTAGGTGGACTCTCAGTGTCCACCAACCCGGTCAAAATGCCGGACATTCGCTTCTTGTTCTCTCAATTTCGTAAAATATACCGACGCCACGAGAAGGCAGTGAGTAGGACTTCTTTGGCAGTGATCGTATAAGCGTGACCAAGCGAAAGCATTTCGAGAGAGAACTTAGTCTCCCCACCCCCTGCCGTACCACAGCATTTGAGGGCGGAGTATCCTGAGGAAACAAATGGCGTATTAACTTACTGATCACCGGCTACCATGGGTCTTCTCCTCTTAACGTTACCACAACTCGTGGATTAGGCCTCTAGGACAAAGGCTAGAGGTGTGGCACCCTAAGAAAGCCTCCTGCTTCAGTTCGTGCTCGGGTAATATTTTAGCCCTCAAAAAAATCGAGTGTCGAAGTGTGACGTATATATATTTAGTGCCTCCTTGTATTAATTAATTATTTATTTGAACACATAAATACTGGTACAAGAGAGCGCCAAATATATATGCGCCACACAAAACAATCAGAATTCGAAGAGAAAAAAGGTAAGGAACTTAAAAAAAAGAGAACAATAACGAAGAGATTGGTGTAAGGTAGTGTAGTAATAATAATAGTAATAATGAGGGGACGGAAAGGTACAATCAGAAATCTTTCAGTTAAGGGAGACACAACCACTTTTTATGAAGAAAGTAAAAGAAGGTTACAGCAGGATCGCCACTGGCTTCTATTCTGAGCCATATCTGATAACGTCTCTAGCCACTGTGTCGCACCATCTCTCGGACCCCAACCAGAGGGTCGTGAAGGACCGACAGAAGCCAGTCCTTTACAGCTTTCATACAACGACACCATGTCATGCACTGACCGCCTCTCCGCTGTTCCCAACCAGTCCCAGCGTCTCTGGGACATTTGTAGAACATGTCCAAGCCACCTAAGTCGGTGTTTCAAGATGGTGACATCGATTGCATTATCATCTCTGTGCCAGAACACACGATGCCGAACCTCTGCATCTATATATATATATATATATATATATATATATATATATCACTCGACCAACTAGTGTCACTGTAGTGTCTAGTACTATGTCAAGCCCACATAGGTTATTCTAGCTTAAAGAGTTACATTCTGACCTTGTCAATAATCCGTCTATTAATCTTGACTGTTTTTATATCAGCGTATGTGTGTGTATCGCTTACCCTACTTATCACATATCCAGCTTATTTGTCCGGCTATAAATACGGAGTCACGCTTAATCAAGTTGGGTCGGCACACTTGTATTCTATGCTTTTTATTATTAGTTTATTCCTCAACAGACGAGTGCCTGAAATAAATTCATTCAACTTAAGCCATATTTGGCTTATTGCCAGTGTCACACAAATGAGGTTAGCCTTGGTGTAATACACGGAGTTAAATGGAAGATTTATATACATGGCACATTCAGACATCTTTTCAAATAGAAATCAGATCAATAAACCACTAAATCAACATCTAAAGTTTACACTCGCAAATAGGCGAATTAATCTATCTGACCAAATACAACCAGTGGGGACCACATAATAATGATATATATGTAATAACCTATAATACTTCAGTTGTTACTGTAATGGTTGCTCTTTTAACTCCCATATCATTAAAAGCTTGTCCTATCCACATTACCAGCATTCCACTGCACAACCGTGACGAAGTGTACTGTATTTTTTATGTAACCAAACTCCTGGAAATACCTTCGCCCACGGAGTAAGCAGTTCACATTTCCCAAGACTAAATATGAGACTGAAAAGATAATTCATCACAACCACATTCCAGAATTATCAAGAGACAGATAACTTTTATCCAGTAATCAAAAAACTCAGTGAATTAGGTTGAATGTTTCTGTATTCGAACAGCACTCGAGTTTACAGAATTACAATAGATTAATTAGGTCATAAAAATAGTTTGACAAATCTATAACTGCACCCTAACTAACTTCAACTTACGAATTCCTGAACCAGTGATACAATCTTGAGATTCCAGATGACTCCAGCAAACTTTATCTGCTTTCTTTAACTTGATTTCGATTTTCGTGGCGGTGACACGGTATGATGAATCTTCTGGCACAACTTCATGGAGCAACTGGAATTTCTTGAGCAACTCGTCACCGGTGGGAATAGTCAGGTACAAAGAAACCTGTCTTTATAAACTTAATTTAATATTTTGCGTTCTCACCTTCCTTCTTTCTATTTCTACTCGAACATCAGTTAATGCCATATTTTTTCTGAAGTAATTTATGCAAATATTACCATCCGACTGAAACCAGGCATATCTGTTTAGCAACAAGTCAATTAAATTGCCACTTCTACTAACCGACCACCGGGAGACGGCATCAGGTTCAAAGCTCTCACCACTATGAAGAAAACGAAGCGTAAATAGTTGGTGAGTCCGCCGAAGCACTGTTGTCGAATATCCAATATATTTGTCATCATTTTGTGTAGCTCAACTAATTTTTTGAGTTCGCTTCTTGTTAGTTCGGTACGGTTCTTGGTATTCGGTTATGCCCAAAGAGTGGTAGTCTAGTCACTCGAATACACTAATTCTAGTCATTGTTCTAGTTGTTTTTGAATTATTAAATCTAGCAGTTGAGTGAGTACGTTTTCCTCGGGGTAGGATGTTTTATGGATGTCATCACCTGTCTTATTATTAGGTAGAATGTTTTTTGGTTGCAATGTTTAGATGGTTCAGTGAACATACGAATGCTGAGTGAAGAACTGCAAATAAAAACGCGCGCTATTTAAAAAGGACAGTGGTATTTTTCCTCGCTGAGTAAATTTCTTTGTTTTGATCGTTTATTACGTATCAAGACTACTGTTTTTCACTTTAATTGAATTTATTTCAATTAAAGTATTCGACTAAAGTATCGTTTTTACTGTTTTGTCGTTGGTACTCTTGAGTACCTCTTTTTCAACTGTATCTGTTAGTACTTTTGGTCCTAGCAATCTACAGCTCTTCACCTTTTTTGGTCACTGATAATTTTTTTGTTTCTGGGTATCATCGCATATTGAAAAAACCCCTCCTAAATGACTGGACAGTGTAAAAAAAGCAGTTGCCAACGTCCGGGTTGTCGTTATCCTGTTGAAAGCGGCATGCAGTGCGACGAGTGCAAAGGCTGGTACCACGAAGTTTGCACGAACTTAACGCCTGCTGCTTTCAAACGGTTCAGTAAGAAGGGTTGTGTGTGGCTTTGTCAACAGTGCTGCTCGGATGCTAACAGCTTGTTAACCGAGGCCATCTCACTGGTTGATGCTGCAAAGAAGTGTTTTAACAAGCAGAGTCGGAACGCGTCAAACAGCACTCGATCTGTTGACACGCAAATCAACGTGAAGGAAACTAAGGTTAGTCCGGTGATAGATGACTCACGCCCGTCAAAGAAGGAAAAGCAGTCTCCAAAGGGGTCTGCCTTAAAAAAAAACTCAAGAAAAGTAGGGTCTTCTGTTTCCCGTCTCCCAGATGGGATCCAACAGGAAACACCTTGGAGCCGCAATCGCAAGGCTCGATCGGTTTCAAATGGTAAACATAACACGACCTCTCAGGTCGCCGACAACCACCCAAAACCCAACACTAGGTTTGACGCTACTGTTATTGCTTCTACCAGCACCGTTGACGAACGGGTAAAGGTTGTAAGGAAGAAAAGTATTGATATAAAAGGGAAACCTGCCCCCGTAAAAGTGGTTGAAAAATCGAAAGCTGATCATAGCGACAGATCAGCTATTTTTCATAGAATTAAGGAGAGCGATAGCTCTGAACCTAAAGCTCGTTTTGAGCATGACATTGTACTGATTAGGCAGCTGCTTAATCAACTCATGCCTCAAAATATGACTGGGGTCACCTTGCTAAAGGTGTACAGACTAGGGAGTCTAACGGACTCGAAACCAAATCATTCCAGATTGCTTAAAGTAGTATTCGGCTCTTCAAACGAACGTGACCTAATTTTACAAAATGGACACAAATTAAAGGGTTCGGGAGTCTTTATCCGAAAGGACCTACCGTTGGCAGACCGTGTTAAAAGACGGGAAGCCGAGAAAGAACTACAACATAGGTTAGACGCTGGCGAAAAGGACCTGAAAATGGTAAATTTTCGGGTTGTAAGACTTCGACAGAGAATGATGCCGAAGCCACTCTGGGTGAAGCACGAAGGCACCTAAACAGGCTTCGGATCTGTTACACCAATGCACGAAGCTTACTTAATAAGCGATCGGAACTAGGTGTACAGATTGACTCTATAAAGCCAGATATAATCGCAGTAACAGAAACCTGGCCGACACAGGCTATAGATAGTATAGAACTTGATTTCAAGGGCTTTACGTTAGTAAGGGCCGACAGAACACAAAAGCGCAAAGGAGGGGGAGTAGCTCTATTCATTAGGAATGCTATCCCATTTACCATTATCGATAGTGTATCCCATGAGAGTGGGACGTGTGAATTAGTTAGTCTTCGCTTAAAATGCAAGGGACAAGAGCTGCTGATTGGTTTGGTCTATCGCAGTCCAAGCTGTGAGGCAAATGAGATCCTGTTAAGCAGTCTCAATACTTGGTCCCAAAGTGGTCGATGTCTAATCCTAGGGGACTTTAATGCACCAATGGTAGACTGGGAAAATCTGCGAACTAAATCGTCGGAGAATTCTTTCGAGCAGGAACTAGTTGATGGGGTTATCACATATGCTCTAGTGCAACATGTGAAAGAAGCGACAAGGTACGATTCGGACACTGAATCATCCTTATTAGATCTTATACTGACTCACTATGAGGATGATGTTGCGAACCTCCACCATATGCCACCCTTAGGTAAAAGTGACCACGCAGTCTTAACTTTCGACTTCCATATAACTGCCAGTCATGAGGACACGTCAGTCCAGTCCAGACCCAACGTCTGGAAAGCAAACATACCAGACATCATGCACTCAGCATCGTTAATAGATTGGACAATAGACCCAGAGTCCTCCATTGAAACGGCCTGGGACGCATTTCGAAAATCATACTTAAAAGTTACCACACCTCACATCCCTTGGACTATACCAAAGGGGCCGAAAAACTCACCGCCATGGTTCAGTAGGGAAGTCCGTATCCTTCTCCGTAAGAAAAGGAAAACGTGGGATAGATTTAGGTTACTGGGGACTGATGAGTCAAAATCCCTGTATCGAAAGGCTCGGAACACTTGTGCCTCGACCCTCCGTAAGTCTAGAAAATTGTACGAAGAAAAACTTGTTAAGGAATCCATAGAATGTCCTAAACGCTTGTATTCCTATATAAACCAAAGGACAAGGAGAAAAGGAAATATTCCTGCTCTATGGGGAGACAGTACTGCTTCATCATTAGTGGAGGACGACTTTGGTAAGGCTCAAGCGTTCTCGAACTACTTTAGCAACGTGTATACCATAGAAGCGCCCTTCTCGTCAGCGTATACAGATCCCCCCATACATACACTGGATAGCGTGACCATTAAAGAACTCGATGTCTTTGGTCTGCTAAATAAGCTTGACATAGGTAAATCCACGGGGCCCGATGAATTACATCCTAGGCTACTGAAGGAATTATCTAACTTCGTTGCGAACCCTTTAAGAACATGCTTTAACCTATCCGTTACGCAAGGTCGCTTACCGAAAGATTGGAAAAACGCCATAGTAAGTCCTGTCTTCAAAACAGGCACGAAACACAAACCTGAGAACTACCGCCCCGTTAGCCTAACTAGTGTGGTTGTTAAAATATTAGAAAAGATTATTCGGAAGGAGCTGTTTAAGTATCTCGATAAAAACCGGATCCTCTCGGAGAAGCAGCATGGCTTCAGAATAGGTTATTCTTGTCTCACTAACTTATTAGTGGCTCGTGAAAGCTGGTGTGCTCTTAAGGACCAAAAGCCACCTGTAGACGTCGCCTTCATTGATTTCAGTAAAGCTTTTGATAAAGTTCCGCACAACCGGCTGTTATATAAGTTAAGACATGTCGGGATTGGAGGTAATTTATTGATGTGGATAAAAGACTTCTTAGTTGGGCGTCAACAAAGAGTAAGGGTGAACTCAAAGTTATCTAGCTGGGAAACTGTGCTTAGTGGAGTGCCCCAGGGTACAGTTTTGGGGCCAGTGCTATTCCTCTTGTATGTAAATGACCTTCCTTGTCTCCTATCATCATCGGTCTTGCTATATGCTGACGATGTCAAGATATGGAGAACGATACGATGTAGGAGTGATAGCTTAGAACTTCAAAATGACCTGAAGAAGTTATCTGAATGGTCTCAAACATGGCAGTTGCCGATAAATACTTCCAAGTGTGTTGTGATGCATATCGGTCATCAAGGCACAGATACATACACGATGAATAACACTGAGCTACCTGTCGTCCAGACATATAATGACTTAGGAGTTATCGTTAGTCAAGACTTAAAGACTACTGCACACTGCCGTGCAATAGCCGCCAAAGCGTTTAGAACCTTATGGTCAATACGTAGGGCTTTTAGTCATGTCGACACTAAGACGTTTTTGACTTTGTATACAGTGTTCGTTCGTCCTAAACTTGAGTACTGCATACAAGCGGCTAGCCCCTGCTTTAAAAAAGACAGAGAGCTCCTGGAAAAGGTTCAGAGAATGGCGACTAAGCTGGTTCCCGCAATAGCGAAGCTTCCGTATGAATCTCGACTGGCCAAGCTGAACCTTTTCCCGTTGTCATATCGCAGAACTAGAGGCGACTTGATTACAGTCTACAAATTGCTTAGTGATAAATTTGCACCTAACATGCCCTCATTTTTCTTGTCTTCCAAAACAGAGAATTTACGAGGACACTCCAAAAAAGTTCATAAGCCGAGAACAAATTACTTCTCAGCTGACTACCGACTTTCCCATCGAATCATCAACGAGTGGAATTCATTACCTCAGCACGTGGTTGAGGCTCCATCCGTCGACTCTTTCAAAAGAAAGTTGGATCAACTGAGAGACCACCATCGCCAGGACTAACATAGGCCATCGAGCCTCCTGTCCTTCCCAAACTGAAACTGAAACTAATTGATTGTGTGTAAGAATACGTCAGTGAAATATTAAGAGGGAAGACAGAAATGTTAATAAGACGGATAAAAAGCAGTTACTTGTCAATCATTCACTGTGGACGTTGAAAGTCTTAAGAGATACACCAGACACAGCTGGCCCAAGGAGAAGATGATAGTCCATGTGTGAGTACGCGTTAACTAAGTCTGCTCTTCAAGCTGGTCACCGAAGAATTCTGTGCACACTTCGACTTAGAAAGCATTTTAGGTGGAAATGTCAACGTGTGACTGTGAGTACTTTTCAAACAGTGTTAGGAACAAATAGGAAATAATGGCGTCAAATTGTTCACGAAAAAATTGGGAAGTTTCCTTTGCCTTGGCAACACCTTCCCATGTCGTTTGAGCTGATGCCTAAGCTCTCCGTGGTCAGAGGCTCAAGAACACGCTCTGAAGAGACAAC